GTCCGGCAGGGAACACTGGGCGTGGATGGTCGTGGTTGAGGTCCGGCGGAGGAGGACGAGGAGGAGGAGAGGGAGAAGGAGGAGGAGGAGGAGATGGGGCTGACATAAATCTAGCAACCCTCACCAGACAGGTGGGGAAATAGGGATCAACAAAAAAGCGAGGGGTCAAGAAGAACACAAAGAGGCATCAAAAGCACTTTTGCCACCACCACCACCACAACGACGACGACTACTACTTCTGCTACTGCTACTGCTACTACAACAACTATTACAACAACAACAACTACTACTACCACCACCACGACTACTACTAAAACAACGACTACGACTACGACCACGACTACTAGGACTACTACGACTACGATGACGACGAGGACGACGACGACGACTACTACTACTCCTCCTCCTATACTCCTACTCCTACTCCTACTCCTACTAGTAGTGCTACCACCGCCACTACTACTACTACTACTACGACTACTACTACTACTACTACTACGACTACTATTACTACTACTACTTCTTTTTTTCCATTTCCGGCTCCGCCGCGCGACTTTTACTTGCTAATACCAAAACACTTGGAACAGTCAAAAAAGATGCAGGGCCAAAAGGAACCCAAAGAAGGCTCATAGACAAAATAAACCAAGAACATCAAGAGAATCAGGGATCAACAATAAAACAAAATATGGCTAATTGCAATAAAACTAAAGGACAGACGAGGATCAAAATAGAAACAAACGAGGATCTTAAATAAGTAGACACTACTACTAGTAGTAGTAGTAGTAGCAGTAGTAGCAGTAGTAGTAGTAGTAGCAACAAACTTGTTTCTTGATGCCTCTTTGTGTTCTTCTTGATCCCTAGTTGTTTTTTGTTGATCCCTATTTGTTGTTTTTAAGTTGACCCCTACCTTTTTGTTCCCGGGGTTTGAGACCGAGCAATCGCGTAAGTACCATAAGTATGCCTCGTGGGTTGGCTTTATCCGAGATGCTATTTTCGGTCGACGTCGTCGACGCCGGTGCAATGACCACTTTGTTTGATGCATCCCGGTTTGGGTTATCTTCAGAAATGCTTTCAAGACACCACTAGCGCCCGGCAAATTTGTACAGACTTGCTTCAAATACTTTGGTAGAATCGCTTGTCGAAGAGGGTGAACATACAGTGCAATACCTTTTGCCTACGCCTATGATATAGACTTGGTCCAGGCTGTCCAGAAGCGCTTCCCAGCACTGGCTCACTATGATGGCACGGCCCGGCACCAATCGGTGAGCCAATCAGATGAGCCATGGGTACATTCCTTGCTGTTAGCCGTGGGGAAGCGCACGGGTTTGGCTGCATTGATCAACACCAGCTTCAACTCGCGAGGAAAGCCCATTGTGAACACTGTGAGTGAATCTTTGGAGATGTTGGACACAATACCAGATCTCGATTATTTGGTTATTGAACATTGGCTCTTCAAAGCACCTCGGGTCAAGAGGCCACTGCCGAAAGAAGAGCCAAAAGGGTGGACAATGAAGCCCTTGGAATAAGCTCATGGAAGAAAGACGCCAGTCTAAAGTCAGATTGGTATTGCATTCGGCAGCAGGTATGATTTAGACCAAAAATGCAAATGTTTGAACTGGTCGCCCCGAAGTCGTCTTCATACTTGGGCAATCTTTCTTTGCCTGTCCTTATAGGTACTCGAAACATTTGCATGTTCCTTTTCTCCTTCCGTATTGGCTCTCCTTCCCCCCTGTCCTTTGTGTTTGCTGTTGCTGTCCCACAACCTTTTCTATCATACGATTTTGACATAATTTGACCCTGGGACCAAGGAACCGCTAGTTATCTAAATCTAAAGAAGAGCCCAAGGCCCTTGGAACATGAGGGACGTGTGTGCAACAGACCGTACATCGTCTGATTGTCCAGGTTCACAAGGAATCGTGGCTGCTCAGGAGGAGCGGTGGTCACAGCATAGGTTGCTGGGCCATGGCCCTGCATGTCCAGCAAAGTTTGCTGTTCTTGCTGTCGAATGTATGGGGCAAGCCACGGATTGAATCACAAAGTTCATTTTGCATGATGGGTCTGAGATAGTGGTCGACGGTCACCCGTTTTGGATTTGCAACGTTTAGGAAGCTTTGGGAGAGTCGGTGTAGTATTGAAACATCGTGAAGCAGAACTTTTGCCCTTGCAGCGTCTTCAGCTCATTTTGATGGGTGAGCTCAAAAGGGGGCGTTGTTCATCAAAAACCCGCAGCTAAATTAAATCATCGGGTTAGATCGTGGACAAAAGGAACTCAGCCAGAAGCGGAATGTTCATTCCATGCAAGTGCACAGACCGGTTGGCCCTTAGACGACCTGTTTTACTATATCTTGACATATCTTGATTTCGCTAAGGTTTTTCGACCAGATTGAATCAAATGCTTGTCCGAGCGACTGTGCGCTGGCCATGAGTGCATGCTGATGGGAGATGTTCGCATGGTGGCCAGCCTGGAAAACTCTCGTGCCCTGGGCGCCATTTTATTTTTTTGCACGCCCTTACTTAATTCAGTAGACGCCTACTTAATTAAGTAAGCGAGCAAGCTACTACTGGCTACTCAAGGTACTACCTACTGGACGCAGGATAGCGCTGGCACTAAAATTTGGTTTCTAGATTTCTAGGAACACAGGGAAACTGATTTTTTGGATTCTTGAAAGGGGCCACCCTTGTGGGGGTGACCTTATGTGCAAGCTTCCTGGCCACGTGAAACCTGGGGGGCAAGTTGCTGAAAGGACAATGCTGTTCAACTAATTATTCAACTAACTAGTAATGTTTGACTGGAACTGCTACTGATGTCAGAACTCCTGAGCCCACAAAACACCAAACTGCGCAGAGTGCCGGTCGTTGGATATCAGCTTTTGTCGAACAATCTATTTCTACACACCAGAAGTACAGTACTGGGGGCTGACCTTGCAGCTTGCACCTGTCACTGATTCCAGGCGCTGATCAACATCCTAGATGCTGGAGGCGCCAAAGATACTAAGACGGATTTCGACCGTTGTGCAGGGCACCCCTCGAGCGCTTGCAAAAAAATGCTGATTCATTAAGTTCCCCCAACAATCTTGGAACCAAATCAATAGTGCCAGCTTGAGCTATTTTGCGTCCTAGGTAGTAGCTTCCTACTTAACTATAGCTACCTCTTCTAGCGGCCTACACACCCACCCGGGCTAAAAAAAGAGAAAAAGAAAAGACCACCAATACCGACACGAGGGTAGATAAGTTTGCTGAACCGATGTTTTGAGCGGACCATTGAACAAGATACTTGACAGACTTTCCGGCTATCGATTAGTTTTTGTAAAAATATTGCCGTGACGTACTATTGGAGGAGCCCGTTTGCCGCCTTCGCCGGCGCCTGCTGGGCGGAAGCACCATCCGTGGCAGCATTTGCCTTGGAACGCGCAGTTCCAACAAGATCGGAAGCTGGTGCAGTTTGTCTTCAGGAACCGACAGAGAGGCTTTTATATCGAGCTGGGAGCCCGAGATGGCAAGGAGCATTCGAACACTTATGCATTGGAGATGGCCCAGGGTTGGTCTGGCATTCTGATCGATATCTTCCAGAACGAGGAATGTAAGAAGAACAGGCCACACTCTACTTGCATCCAAGCTTGTGCAGCCAGAGAAGTTCCTTGGCTTCACTGGTTTCTTCTGATTCCCGACCCAAAGCTTTCTGATGCTGATTGGTGGGAGACATTTGGCACAGCTCCAAATAAACTTGCCCCAAGCTTTGAACCGGAGCTGAGCCTTGTTTTCCTCTCTCTCTCTCTCTTTCTCCTTTGGTGACCATGCAGGAGGTTTTCCTGCATGCGGCTTTGCATTGATCGCGAATGCTTGAGTCGAAATTTCTTGGATTTTGTTGTGCCCCCCGCTGCGAGAAAATAACAGTCCATCAGACATATGTAGAAACCTCGAGATGGGGGGTGGTGGTCCAAAAGCCAGTATCCACCATTGCCGATGTCTGAGATGATCAGTGCCCAGGAGGGGATTCAGACTGTTGTGGAGGCTGGTCTCAACACTGGCTTTCTTCAGTTTGTGGAGACGGACAATGCCAGCACCACACAGAGGCTCGGTGATCTGGCCCAAAGAGATGGCTTTTCCCAGACAGCACCTGACACTTAGGACTTAGGACCGGAATTTTTCAGGGTTGGACCGCGGGCCAAAGCCTTTGCGCGGGGTTGCTTCACCTAAGGCAGACGTATTCGTTTGATCCATTAGGGTGAAAAGGTTGTACACAGTGTGACCTAGAAAGAGCATGAACACGCTTCAGCAGTATGCACTCCTGATTGTGAGAGCATGCAAATGGATTCGCTGGTGGATCTCGTGGGTTATCACATGGCTATCACGTGTTTTCAGCATTGTTGGTCTGCTCCTTTGTGCCAGCTGAAGAGGCAGAAATCGAAGTCTCAGGATTCTCTGTCAAACTTTGCCATCTATTCTCTCCAAGCAAGAGGCTCCTGGCTGGATTGATTGGTTGAGCCTTGATGTGGAAGGCGCCGAACTGGAGGTCTTGACACCACTTCTTGACAAAGGCTCTAGTTTTGTTGTTGACGTGATCTCGGTGGAAACCAAGTCCGCAAATGCGCTTGCATATCGGCAGTTTATGCGCAACCACGGTCCTTCTCCGCTTTAGAAGCTTTTCATTTGCCGATTTTGCAGTCAAAGATCCCTTGATTTGCTCATTCCCAAATGTCGCTAGGGGGAGAAGATGGTTCGCAGCAGTTCCGTTTTAAGTAGCAGTTCGTGATGCCTAAACCATAGTTCACCCATAAGGTTATTGGTTGGTAGAGAGGATGGGCTTGGATGATGCGCACGTGCGCGAATGGACCGAGGACAGCCGTTTAGTTTTGTTCAGAGCTCGGAGAGATAGTGACTGTGTACAAGAAGTGAAGCCATGAATGAACTTCTGCCCTTTCAGTAGATAATTTCGGCAAGTATTCTAATAACATCACATTTCAGAAAAGGATTGAGGTCACGACTCACAATCAGACTCAGATCCCCAAACTCACAAATCGCCAGGATGAGACCGATTGCCGAAGGTTGAAGGCCGCGGGAATGTTGGCCTCTATGAAGAGGATCATGCACAGAGCTTTGGACCTGTTCCTTTGCAGAGATTGTTGAGCCGAAAGTAACTGGGACTGGCTCTGGGCTTTCTGCAGCTTTCCTGGTTTCCATTCTTGATGGATTCGACAGTCACAAGTCAAGGAGTGGACAGTGGAGATCCCTGTGGACACTTGCTCATTTCAAGCCTTCATTCTGTAAAAAGGTTTGAAAGGCTTTTCTTGTTTTTTGCCGTTTGGACATGGTGCTACTGCACTTCTTACATGCAAGACAGTCTTTGGGGTGTGGGGTGAGAGAGCCGCCATCGGATTTTCACGCTATTGAAAAGAGAAGATATATTAACCATGTAACCAGTGGTGCGTCAAGTTCTTCAAGTTCCGTGAACATTTCCCCTGGCATTATTCTTGTTCTGGCGAGTTTTGAATTGATTGAATGATTGAATGGGTTTCTCATCCTGTGCAACACTGAACTCCACCTCCTTGTGGGGATGGATGCCCGGAAATCATGCTTTTGGCGGAGGGCGGACCTAGTTTACATGTCGAACAAACTCGCCTACGACATCTTTGCAAAAGCTTTGTAAAAGGCGATGCGGGGTTGATCCTCCCATCTGTGGCAGCTCTTCCTTCACCGCTTATCCTTTGAGGATCGCCTGGAAGGGAGATGGTCGGTATGAGGTTGACAAGCTGCAGCTTGGTCTGTACTGGGAGTGAGTCATTCTACGGGTACTTCGGCAGATGTGATGATTCATTGGTCCAATCTTATTCTCATCTCAAAGCAAATAGTGCCTCACTGTTTATTGTGCACCACCTTGGTGCTCAAAATATGACCGACCCTTGTAAACTGTGAGACCGCCCACTACCAGTGGCAAACAACATCTCAGTCAACCTCCCTTGGATATCCCCAGACATTTCCCAAGATTCCAGACATCCACGAAGCAGAGAGATGGACAGGAAGGCAGCAGGATACATTGAGATCCATGAGCCTCGGCACAGAAGACAAACGCACCAAGACACCTGAGGACAAGCTATGCTCGAAATGTTTCCCGCTGGAATCTTAAACGAGCTGCCTTAGTGGCTTGTCTATTTTGGCTGCCTGATCCCTCTCTTCCTTCATGTTCGTCTAGGAGCACTCGGTTCTTGACCATCCAAATATGAGAACTACATAGAACTACTTGCTCGAAGACCGCTTTAAGAAGCCGTGCAGACTCCTGTTTTCTTTCACCTTTTTCCATGAGCAGGCTCCCGCTCCAACTCATTTTCGTGGTTTGACCTCAAGTCTTTTGGAGGGACTTGAAGTTGATTTTTCACTTCTTTTCTCTGGGAGTTTGACTCGCAGCTTCAGATGTTGTCAATTTACAACATCATCCTCAAAGAAATCCTCACAGGCAGCAACACTGTTAGTTATACCATGTTATACCAGAATCTCTGCTTGTGACGCCGCACCATCCAAGATTTTCAGCTTCGAGAGTTTGAACGGGAGTCCCATCCAGTTGCCCAGGTGGCCAGAAACAAGAAGTGCAAGATGGGGGAGCTCGGGCTTCGTTCGATTGATTTGCTCTTCAACGTCTTGCCTGGGTTAGAGTCGTTTAGCCAGGCAATGTGCCGTGGCAATGGCTTTGAGGGCGATGAGAAGCTTGGCAGAGGCAGACATGGTGAATGACAAAAAATAAACAGAGATGAAGAAAGGAAGGTACTGTAAGGCCCCTTAAAGAGATCCTTGCCATTCCTTTTCTTTATCATATCTATTTTTCAAGACATGAATAAGTATATTACTTATATATATATATATACGCATACATATAATTCAATGTCATTTTCTATTCTTCCTAAGACAATAAGACACATATTTTAATTTGTATCCTTTTGTTTAGAGGTTTTTGTGAGGGCCGTACGTCATTGCCTCTGGTCCACGCTTAGTCTCTGGGCACACCAAACCATTCGCAATTTCCGTTTTGTTTTGTGCACAATCGCACAATGCTGCACTTGCCAGGCTTGTTTCAGTTCACTCACCCAGCCATCATCCTATTTGCACTGTTCGGATTGGTAGCCCTGTCTGGCCAATACTTTTGGTTCATAGGAGGTCGCGTTTGACTGTATTGGGGAGATGTGCTTCCAGGACAAGCAGTAGTCTCTTGAAGAACTATAACGTTCATAATGGCAACATGCGAGTGACAGTGTATTACTAGACCTTTAAACATTCCAGCGAACCGAATGGAGTGAAGGGGTGAATATGGTTGCTTATGATCGGTAAGGTTGGTTTGGCATAAGCAGGTTACTCTAGTCTGCTGTTCAGTTATCACTCTCTTGTGTTGGTTGATCATCCTTTTCGGTCGGTTGCCATTTTGGCTACAAGAAACCAGGTGATCAACCCAGGCTCTCGGTGAATTTTTGGTGGTCGGGTTGGTCGAGAGGCCTGGGTAGGATCGCTCGAGCTATGGCAAATCCCTTCACCAAGCAACAGAGCATGGCTGCATCCAGGGCCCTGCGGCCAGAAGACTCAGTGTCCAACATTTCGAGCTCGAGTTGGACTTGGCAGCAGGTTCATTACCATGAGGATGACCTGCCCCCCGGTGATCTGGAGTTGCCCAAGCCAGTCGATCTGATGAACAAGATCCCAAAGGAAGAACGATCGGTTGAAGAAGCTAGTTCTCAGCCAGCTGGATCTCAAGCAGCTGGATCCCAAGCTGGACCTCAGGCAGCTGGATCACAAGACGGCCAGACGAAGTGAGCGAGAAGCCAGCGGCTCCAGCAAGTGTGGTTCCACCTCCGCCCCCTGCAAGGAAAGCACAGCCACCTGTGCCCTCAGCAGCACCGGCCACACAAGCAGCTCAGAATTTCTTGGCGGGCACCAACCCTCAGTGGGGCTCGCGAAAACTCCGGAGACAGCAAGAGAGGGCCGCTCGGCGTGGTGCTAGGGCAGTGCGCTTTGGACAGCTGGGGGGTGTTCACAATGCACTGAGCTCAGCATTGCCGCCTTACTTGCGACAAGTGGGAGCGGCAGACGGTGAGCGCTCGGTCTTGGTGGTGGACTCCTGCGACCAGAGGATCTCTAGTCCTTTTCAGGGTTGGCTCCTTGATGAAATTCTCATCAATGCCCAGGCTGGAGTCAACGTGCTCTCAGACGCAAGGCTGATCAGGAGCCCATCGACTGGATACCACATGTCCCTCTTCTACATGAGGACCCTTGAGGGGAAGAAGCTCATTGTGGTTGGGTCAATGACTTCCTACGGATCCGTTCCTTGCGGCAGGTGGGACTCCCTGACTGGCGACGTCCTGTCGCACCAGGCTTTTCAGCCGTTCAGGTGGCCAATCATGAGGGACGACTCGTCAACATGGGTCGACTTGAAGTTCAAAGTAGAAGGAGCTCTCCTCATCCACCTGGAGTTGCGAGGGTACAAGGGCGATCGTGACATGGCGGTGCAGTTGAACTACGTGAACGATGCCCTCGTCATGGGATTAGAGGATGTGTTGTTCATACCATCCTGCACAGTCACGATTTTCCAAGGCTGGCGTGTGTGTGCGATTTCGTTCGAAGTCGGCGGCCAATTGTACGCTTGCAGCGAATCCGGCATGGTGGTGGCATTAGACTTTCCACTGTGCCACTTTGAACTGCGGCTCACTGCAGTGTCGTCGGCAGACTCGTTCGGGCACGACGCGGACAGACTAGAGTTCAGATTCAGCTCGGCCCAGGACAGGTTGGATGTGATGTGTTCGACGATCGCGGTTCCGACATCCTGGCTAGTGGTCTCCAGGGTTTCTGGACCGACATTGATCAAGAACGCCCGCTGGTGTCGTGATCACTATGCCCGCATTGAGAGCCCTGATCAGACGATGCAGATGGCTCAGATAGCAGGGATCCATGCTCACTGGACTTCGGCAGTCACTGCAGAGTCGGTCGAGGACACTGGACCCAGAATTGGAGCAGTGGATGTGAGTTCTCACCAGGACAATGTTCATTTGACCTGCGAGAGCCCACTGTTGAAGATGGAAAACGCATTGTTCCCAAAGAAGCGATCGCCTTGCAATACCATGACCCGGCCACCGAGAAGGCGACGATGATCTTGCCTCCCACGATGGGAGCGCCAGCGGTCTCGATCGCTCAGTCAAGACTGGAGCCCATTCGTGACTTGGCTGGTCAGCCAGCGGGTTCTGCGCCATCGGTAGGAACCCCCCGAAAGGTGGAGATCTCCCTGACATCGCCAGGCGAAGCCGCGGTGGCAGGATCTTCAGGGCAGCAAGTGTATGCCCCTCGTAGGTCTCTCGAGCAACGCCGGGGGGAGGTGATAGCGGATGCGGCTGTCACTCCTCAGGCCTTTGTTCAACAAGCCAGGTCGATCATGCGCTCATACGTATCGACACCAAGAGTCGATCGGCCATCTTCAGTTAGGATCACACCGGAAGATGCACAGCCAGGTGTTCCTACATCTTTTCAGCCTCCCATGGGGGAGGATGCGGCCGATGTTTGAGGTGTGACACTAGGGGGTGCACTTCAGACGATCGTGACCTAGTTTCCTGTGGTTTCGATCGACCTCATCGGTATGAGAAAAGTCTCAAGCCGGCTGATCCGGGACGGGTTCAGGGTGCTAGGTCATGACCTCGGTCGATCACTGTGTCGAGTGGACGCTGCAGGTCAGTACCCTAGCCTCTGCAGTTTCGGGAACTCAGTGTGCAGAGCCTGACGTGTTCACGCATGCCGGTTCTTTACAATTCTGATGCCGGTTGTGTGTTCACTCTAGCATGCACACAGAGTTGTTTTTGGGTTGTTCAATTGTAAAAGGATAGGATGAGTCTTTGCTCACTTGAAATGCAACAGCATGTTCATGAGACAGTCGATCGTGCAGTTCGCTTGTGTGAGTAGGACTAGCTCTGCTGTTTTGAGAGATGTTTTCTTTTTATCGGGTAATGCTCTTTCCAATAGCAGAAGGTCTTTGTGTGCTGCTCACGTCAGTTCAGAAGCATGTTCATGCAATGAGCCGCGTGAGGTCAGTACCCCCAGAGTCGTGGGGGCTCGGGTGTGAGGGCCGTGAGTTAGGGTTCAGACCTATGGTTGGGGTTTGACGCCTTGGCTCTGCGCCTGCAAGGTTGATCAACGGAAGAGAACTTGATCTTTGTTTGTTTAACGGGTTCATGAATAGCTTTGGTATGCCAGAGCATCATGGCTCAAAGGGTCGACAGGTGGGTCACCAAAGTGTTGGCACTTCCAGTGTTCACACATGACTTCGCACGTGCTCTGACCAGTTCTCCGTTGGCCAACCTCGCATTGATTGCATCGATCGAAGTCAACTCCGGCACTGAATTTGTTCAGAAGGTTTCTGAGTGGGCCCCAACTTTGGATGGTGAGGTCGTCAGAGTTTTGCTAGCTCGCCCTGATCTGCTCGAACAATTTTGGTGCATCGCCATTTCGATCGAGAAACTATTTTTCGAATCAACATCCACCCAGCTCGGTTTTGGACTGTGTGAACCTGCCCGAGCTCATCGGGCTATATCGGATTCTGACTCGCTACGGAAGCAAGCTGCTATTCAGGCACTAGTTCAGAAGCAGGTCAAAGGTCCAAAAAGGCTCAAATCCGAGCCGCTCGGCCATAGTGGGCCAACTCCACTGCTGGACGCTGAGCAAGCGGAGAAGCACAAGTGGGCCGCGCGCTTGGAGGAGATAGGCAAGAGAGCCGGCCCATGGGCCAAGCTCTTCCAATCGTTCGACGAGGGGGGGGAACTCACACAAGCAGAGTCAGCAAAGCTGCGTCATTTAGTTCTAACGTCGAGTGCTCACCGAACGATGTCGGCGTACGTTCGATCGTGGGAACGGTTTGAACTATGGGCAGCTTCTTCAAGTGTTTCTTTGTTTCCCCTCTCGGTGGATAAAGTTCGTAAGTATTGTTTATGGTTGGACGATCGGGAGTGCGGACCCAGCGTGATCCCGTCGTTCCGCTCGGCCGTGAGGTGGATCACTTCACGGTTGGCAATGGAGTGTCCAGATCTTGATGACGCTCAGCTCGTGGCACTTCAAAAGAGTGTCGTGGAGAAGCGGGCGCGAGCGCTCAAGGAGGCCATGCCGATACCGATCGAACTGGTCCGGCGCATAGAGCTCTATGTAGTGTCTGACGCACCTGATCAGGGCAGGCTGTTCATGTGGTGGTGGCTGTGTTTGATTTTCGCTTCGCTCCGGTTCGACGACGGTATCCATGTCAACCCCAAGGACCTCGTGTTCACGGATAACGGTTTGTTTGGCGTTTCATGGCAGACCAAGGTGGAACGTAAGAGGAGGGGAACAAAGTTCGTGATACCGATCGTCGGATTTTCGGGGGCGGAGTGGTTGGTGGAGGGGTGGAAGCTTCTCTTCGCTGAGCCGGTTCTGAGGGATTTTTGGGTGCCTGATCTCAACTCTCGTACGGAGTTCCGTCCCGCTCCCCCAGATCATTTGCGTTCAGTTCAATGGTTCAAGGTTCTTGCAAGAGAAGCCCTCGACACCTTTCAGTCCACCATTCCATTAAGTGTCGCTCGAGCACGGGAGCTGGCTTTAAACATCCCAAGCCTTACAGCTCATTCTGCTCGAGTCACCCTTTTGGATGCGGCTGTTCACGCAGGTAGGACGACTGAGGAAATCGGTCTCCAGGCAAACTGGAAGAACC